CAACCCATTTTTATTCAAAAAACCGCTTCTGATTGTGCGATTTGTAAAGAAGAAATTAAAGGAAAACGAAATTCCGTTAAAAATATTTGTGTGTCATGTGGTATACATGTTTGTTTTAAACACTCTATACGAATTTATAAATGTAAAGATTGTATCAATCAATTTGATTTCTAAAACAATCAAAATTGATATTTTTGTGGTAGTAATATATCGGGATATTTGCATCAACAATAAAAATAAATTTCCTGTTTATACAAATAGTTCTCACGTAGACCTTATTTGGTTATTGGCAAAAATGGCGATTTGTTCAATTTCCCCTATAAAGCTAATCAAAAATATCTATTTTAATTTGTTTTTATGATTTTTGTTTATAATTGTTATTATTGGTTGCATGGCTTTCTCATGCAGTGTGTTATTTTTTAAAATAATTTTTACACATTTTTTTCATAAAAAAAACGTGTAAAACATGCGACCATTCGCGGGATAATTATTTTTTTGTAAAAATAAACACCATGAATCATTTCTCAAAAAAACATTAAAAGCATTATAGTATAGTCAAAGGAAAAAGTGGGATGCTAAGAAAAAGGAAAATTCTTATCTTAATATAAATTTGTTTTAATATTTAACATTTTATTAATTATTTAAATAATTATTAATATTAAAATTTATAGTAATTATATAAATAGTAATATAACTGGGATGCGGGTTATAAATTAAAACTAAACATAAACTATATTTTATTTATAAATTTTAACAAACTAATAAATGAAGTTGAAACTCAGAACTATTATTAATCAAATGGAACAACAATATCACCCGTTTGTGCTTTTAAAAAGACCAATTAAGTGTTGGTGTCTATTTTACTTATGAAATATATTTTCAATTATACATCCACAACAACTAACACATAGAACTAAAAAAAAGTGAAGGAAAAAAGACAGTATTTCATGAGAACGACGGAATAAACAAATTCAATTGACACTTTTACAAACTAATAAAATATTATTTGTTTGGAAGAAAAAGTATGTTTTTAAAATACTGGTTGATGTCCAAACTTACTTCTCCAAATTATTATAAAAAAAATTTTCACACTATTTCCATTGTGGGTACAGTGTTGTGTGTTAACTACAAATTAAATAATTGTTCAAACTTGTTTTTTATTTCTTTTTATTTAGCATTTCAGCTGATAGTTTTTTTATGACTGCTTATCTAAATGCACATAATTATTAATTACATGTGTTATATGGTTATGATTGTATATATGTGTATAAATATACATAAAATGATATGTACACATTAAACATATTACTCATAACTTATACCGTCTTAGTAAAGTCGTCATTCGTCAAGTCAACACTGATGTACATTTTGAAATTAACAAAGAATAATTAATCGTAAATGAAAAATATGAACAATAGATTGTTCAACAACAAAAAAACAAATGTTGATGTTCTATTTTTTGTTATAATAATAAAAATACAATAAATCAATCAAACGTTCAGAAGTATTAAGTACAGATACAGGAAAAACCAGGGACCAGACTAAATTAAGTTGTTTTATTTTTGGTATAAAGTTTCCTTGTTAAGGAAAAATCCCCAAATAATCAGGTTTTTGGAGAATATGTTGGTTTATTTTCAAAAACCAGGGACCAAGTATTAATAAACACACTGTTTTTTAAAATAAAATAGAAAAAACTATAAAATATGAAACTCTTAATTAATCATTTTAAGCTGTTTCATTTGTTAATGCCCAGCCGAGCCAAAGTAAAGTTTGTTCTTTGTATTGATTTATCTTCCGTTGTTTAATACGTTTAATAATTATCAATAATTTACTGAATGCCTCACATTCCAACAATTTATTTATTCTTTACTTTATTTTCATTTATTATGTGAGTCACTTTTAATGTTTAACGAAAAGCGACTTATCAAATCAACCGAATGAGTAAAGAAAACTACAATGGCTTTTTTGAAAAAAATGAAAGAAAAGATTTAATTGAATGGTTGTGTTGAAGTTAAACATGGTTGAACAAAAGAATAATATTTTATGATTAAATAACAATAAATGATAATAAACTTACTATTATAACTCACATCAAGCTGTCGTTCATTCATACTTTATACAACACATTCATTTTTTTATCCTGAAAAATAATTGTTTTTAAGCCCAAATAATAAGAAAATTACACATTTATTTATATCTTTGCCCATTTTATTGTATTAATTACGCTTAATATTCAATAGCTATAATTAGTCTGGTCAACGGGTTTTCCTGTGGTCCCTGTTAATTCCGCTATCTGTATATTCTTTTTTGTACATATTATTGTTTAAAAAATAACCAATAATTGTGAGCATCATTCTTTTTCTAGATCCCCTTATTTCACCCGACTGTATAAAATTATTTGTTTCAAAATACATTTTTATCTTTAAAAATGATAAATTAAAAAACGGTGTAAAAAATTTGTATCTTCAAAAAAGAACAAATCTGATGAATTTATCTTACAATAATAACACTTTTAGTAAATCCAAATAAATTAATAATTTTATAAACCTTGTCCTAAATTATAAGCACTTAATTTAAAACGAAGAAGGTTTTGTGACAATAAAACTAATGAAATTAAAATATAACCAATTGTAAATAATTTGTTAATTAAAGATAGTGACACTATTAATGGTAAGACATTTGCATTGCTTACATTTTTGAAACGTTTATCAATAACATATTAATTGTATTATAGTGACCATGATTCTCAGAAAAATATGTATATATTTTTTTGCAAAGTTACTTTAAACCAAACAATAAGTCAGAATATATCATATTTGAAGACGAAATTGTTAATTTACTAAAAATATCACATCAAAGTCACTCAACATGTAAGATAATTTTTTTTGATTACAACAACACGTTTTATTCAAATGATGAAACTGATGTTAAAAACAATCAACAATTTTTACAACAAAAAACAAGTGCAATCAATTGTTATCAATGTTTATAAGTGATAATAAAAATTTATAGGACCTGCCATTTATTTAGTATAATGATGTTTATGATGCAAGCTGTTAATGAAAATAACAGTGAAAAAATATGTAAATGGTCAAAGAAAGGCAACATTTTGATTTGTATATAAACTGTTGTGATGTAATAAATGATAACCAATAATTTGAACTTAATTAAAGATGAGCAACATTATTAAATGTAATAAATATAACAAGATTAAGTTGTAAATTTTTGATACCAAATTTAATTAAACATAATTTAGTCAATTTTAAAAAATGCTATAATCATAACCAATAACGTTAAAATTAAAAACATGAGTATTGAATGTTGTAAAGCCAAGGGATTGAAAGTAGAATAGAGGTGTGTCAAATGATGTATTTTTTGGCATCAAAGACTTGGTTTCATTTTTTCACACTAACACTGAATTAAATAAAACACTTTACAAAGATTATATTGACTTCGATTACAGTCAGTTGGACCGATCATAAAAGCTAAAAGTGTTTAAAGTAGTTAAACAAATAGTTTTAAAATAAAAGAATTTTATCAATTTAAATCGAGTCTTCAAAAGCACTTTATTTATATTGTTAAATAAATAGTGTTTAATGGATTACAGTCATGCGAAAAAGTTGTCGCGTTTGGAAAAACCTGTCTCGGGTGGTAATGAACTATTCTAGTACTATAAACAAATGATCTGAAATAGAAAATGTTATTTGGAAATGCCGAATATTTTTATTCGATT